AGGCTTTATTTGTGAAGGGGCAGAGGATCCAAACACCATGCTTGCTCAGTGTGCACTGTACTGACTGAGAGCTCTTCCTTGCCCCTAGATGTGATGGATTATTGGGGAAAATGTCCTACTGACCTTGTTGTGTAGAATGCAGCATGAGCTCATGATCTTTTTCTGTCCAAAAGGTAGAGCTATACTATCCATGTCCAAGAGGTCTAGTTGGTGCCTGATCCTGGGGAGCCAGTACGGGAATATTCCCTTCTGTCCTCTGAGGTTCAGTAAGAGGTGATCCAGAGAGGGTGAGCAACCTGGCCAGGCCCCACAGGCCAGAGTTGGGGAACAGCACCATGAAGGGGTAATCAAGGGATAGTACCAACAAAGACCCCTTGACTGTTACTGACCTAGTGGCTCTGAGGGTTGGGATGACCTGCTGAGTGATGGCCCCAGAGGAGGATTTGGACCTGGTGTGCTTACCTCAGGGTCTTATCTTTCCTCAAAGTTATCTTCAGTTTCACATTCTCTAGGGGCTACATTGAAGCTCTCTAGGGCCCAGGAAGTGACAGATGACTAGAGGCCAAAGGAGGGAGGAATGAAGGTCTGTAGGGCAAGAGAGGTTCAGCTTCCAGGGACAGGAGGAGAAAGCCTGATACATTCCCAGACTAGGCAAGTGGAAGTTGGTGATGGGGAGCACCAGCCATGTGGAAGGCTGGTATTGGCCACTTTCAGCAGCCATCTGTGGTCCCTGCCATGGACACTGTCAAAGAACTGGCCCTTTGGCCAGTACCAGAACCAGAGGGGTTAGGACTTCCTTCAGCTGCCCAGCCAGATCTTGGGAGGAATTCTGTTTGCCTAATGATTCAGAGAAACAAACAAGCGCAGGAATGCTCCAAATCGGCAGCCCCGCCGCAAAATCAAATTGACGCTATTCCTTTTACCTCTGATGCTGGGGTGCAGTTCCTGGCCCCAGGCAGGCTAGGTCAGCTCTCAGTTCCTTCCTGGCAGAGTGAAACAGCACACCCGTGGCCATTGCTTCAACATGTCTTTCCCTTGGGCCCCCCCAAATAAACCTGGAGAAATTTAAGATGCTTTTCTCCTTTATCAAGGAAGTTCCTGGCTTGGTAAAGACCCACTGTGCAGCCTGCCCTTTCTGTCAACACCTGAGGCGATTCCTGAAAGGGCAGCGCTGCCCCATCACGCAAGGGCGTCCTCTTCCACAGCTGGTGTCACTTCCTTCCTGACACTTCTGAAGAGTGGACTATTAGTCTTTCACACAAAGTCTCCACACAACCCAACCATACAAGAACAAGCAGTTCCCCTCAAATACCAGCCTTGCAATCAAAGCTGGACTTGCCAGTAGGCTCAGTCCAGCCCCAGGCTCTCGGGACACCCATGTGTCGTGTAACTGTGGAATAGAACTGGATGAGAAGCCATCAGGATCATAAAACCTGCTGAATTTTTATGTATCGTGATTGTGATGTGTCCAAAATAACAGGCTAGGAAGTGCTGCTCTGTTTTGTGGATGAGGAAGTGGGAATACCTTTGAGCTCCTTGACTAGCCTGAAGTCTCTGGAAAGTGGGGAGTGCCCCGTTCCTTGGGAGGACAGTAATGGACTGAGCCCCTTCTCAGAGTGCAGGAGCAAGTGCAGAGACTCCCATGCTGACAGACTCAGTCATCATTGGGCTGGTAGTTCACTGGGCAGCAGCCCCTACAGATGAGGACTCTGAGGCACAGAGAGGATAATGGGCTGGTCCATGGCCACATAACTGTCAGGTACCAAAAGTAGGATGCCATCTTCTGCCCAGGAAGTAAACCCTGTGACAAAATGTACCTCTGGCTTCCCAGGGACAGTCCTTAACCACTCACCCCCAGGAAGGAGTAAGAAACCTGAGGGTTCTCATGTCTGCACACTGCTGCAGGGGACATGGACTTACCTGGGTAGAGTCAGGCTGATCCGAGGGCCTCAGGACTATACCTAGAAACTGGAAGGGAAAAGTGTGGGCAGTGGGGGAATGTTAGTCCTGGAGCTCCAGATGCTAAGATCTGAGGCCCTACTCAGCTCATATGGACCAGCAACAGGCTGGGCCGTGAGTCAGGCTATGGCTGGGCTGGGAGAGGCAGAATGCCAGTAGAGTGGCATTCTTAATGCTAAGTGGGTGCAGGTCTGAGGCTTTGCCTAAGAAACTCCCGGGCAGTTTCTGTTGCAGGTAGGAAGGGAGCTGGAACGTGCATAAGGTCCCATGGAGAACTCAAGGCATCCTCCAAGGCAGGCTAGACTTGCAGATGAGGGGGTCTTAATGCGAGGGTCATGGAGTTTTGACACTTCCAGCCACACTTTCAATTCTGCAGGTTGTCCAAACTGCCTTATTGTGGAGCTGATCCCAAAGTGATCCAGCTGGATGGTGCTTAATCTCCACTGAGTCACCAGGCTAGCCTACCAGGATCAAGGGGATATCAGATGCTGGCTTCCTGTCCCACAATGGGGGACCAGAGGTGGGGCTGATAGTCAGACAACAGTGTAACAGTGATGCTCTGGAATATGGCCATGGCCTTTGCTCTGCTCTGGTCCCTGACATTTCCCTAACTCCATGGCAACAGCTGGGGTATAGTCCCAGTCCTTCCTTGCTGGACTGCAGTGAGCCATTCAATTATCAGCTCCTGAAGGGAGGGCTCCAGCCCAGCCCATGCCCAACTCTAGGTCTGAATGGCCTCAGGGGACAAGCAAGGGAAGGCCTCTGGACCACTGCCCTGATCCCATGCCCCCTTCGCCTCCATGTGCACAGTGTCCTTATTGTATGTCCTGTAGGACAGCGAGGCTCCAGCAGCTGAGAATAGTCCCCACCTGTGAGCCATCCTGCAAGTTAGGCCTTGTCACCCTAGCTTCTAGGATGAGCCATTGCTCCCATACCTGCCCTGGATCAGAAGCTGAGCAGGCTCTATCCCAGGGAAGGAAAAAGGGCAAGAAGTCAGCCAGACTGCCTGGGGCCCAGAGTGAGGCTGAAGGTGGGGGAGGTCAGAAGTCACTAGAACCCTACAGGGTGGATCGGTGAATCCTTGGTGTTGAGACAACCAAGCCTCTAGGAGAGTAATGGGCCCTGCCAAGGGTCCAGCTAGGCTGGATTTACATGGGAACAGCCAACAAGCCTGCTAGCTGATGTTCAGTGGTTGATGTGCCCAGAACAGGGGACTATAAAGGAAGTTCAGCATCCACATGGTCACGACAGGACTAGGTAGTCACATGGGCCTGGTCCCCAGAGCAGCCCTTGGAATCCTGTGTGCCATGGCCTAGAGATGGTCTGGTGTGTGAGCCTGTCAAGGGATCAATACAGCCTCAGACACAGGGTGTGATATCCACCAGGCTGATAACTCAGGTGGCTGAGAGGTCAAGATGTGATTTGGTCGTGTTTCTTTGTGCTAGGGCCATGGACCCTGTTGGCCCTAGCCTCCTGCTGTGGTAAGGATATGAGGAAGGCATAGCCATGGTCATGCCCTCCTCCGAGCCTGAGACTGGTCACCACCAAATCTCAAAGTCTACACATCCATCCGTGGTTAGCCTTGTCCACTTAGCTTGTCCCACAGCAAGGCTACTCCTCACCGCTGACCCTACTCCAGGCTCAGTGTTCAATGCTAACTAAGGCCAGTCCCAGCTCTGCAGCTGTTGGTAGTTGTGGCAGGGGCTTGTCATGTGTCTAAGTCCCAGCCTACCTAAGTTATATATCCCATTACCACCCACACCTTTTCCTGAGTGTCCACTTATTCATTCATCTTTCAACTCACTCACTCACTTAGTCTTTCATTCATCACTCACTCATTTACTCAACTGCCTATTTACTTTTGCATTCATTCATTCATTCATCTACTTTTGCCCTGATTGATTCACTCACTCACTTATTCACTTTTTCAAGTGAATTCATTCATTCACTCACACATTTTTCATTTCATTGACTTATTTGCTCATTGATTTGCTTACTCATCCATAATTCCTCTGGGGCGCCACATTCCTGTGATATATAAAGTGCCCTCCCTGCATCCCCTAACATACACACACACACACACACACACACACACACACACACACACACACACCAGGACCAAGGAATGGTCTACAGAAAGGGCAGCACAGAGGCTTGGGACAGGCCTCCAGGGAAGCCAGAAGCAACCAGAAAGTTCAAGTATGTCTTTATTTGATCTTTGACCTCTCTCCAGCAGGGAACGGGGCAGCCTTTCTCCTTCTACTGCCATTCCTCTCCTGGAAGAGTTTTTCACTCAGTCTACTTTGTGGGCAACAGAGCTGCTGACATTGGCTGAGCATATGGCCACCAGGGGTGTGTATCCAGTTCAATTCCTGGCGGCCCAGCGTCATACACATATGGCGTTTTCTCATCTGGGCATCAGGACAGTGAGTACAGGCTCCTCTAGGCAGGGTCAGTAGTATCTCTCCATCCCAGGGAGCACTAAATGCCTTGGCGTCTGGCTTCCGGAGGGTAGAACTGTACCTCTGCTGCAACTGCCCACTTTGGTCAGGGGACCTGAACTATAACCCAAGTTTTGGGGAGTATGAAGCTGGAGGTTGCCCTGTTGCTGCCCATGGAGCTATTCTCCAAAGAAAGAGAAGATGACTGTCCAGGACAAGCCCTGGAATAGTCTCAAAATCAGCATCTGGTCAGCCTGGAAGATGTGTCTTTTGAGATACCAGGAACTCATGGATTAGAAGGTGGCCTGGGAAAGTCTGGGTGGGGGCTGCTTGGGGAGGACAGCACAGGTAAGGCCTGGGGGAGCCTCAGGGAAACCAGGCTCCACCTGCAGACACACCCACCTCTCACTGCTACCATTGACTGGCCTAAAGTGATCGAGCACCCACTGTTTACCTGGATGAGGGGAAAGATAGGCCTGCCCCGCCCACCCATGTAAAGCCATTGGGGCTGGAGCCAGCTCTCAGACTACAAAAGGCAGCTGGTGACTTGAGTCCCTCCTCAGAGGCTGCCAGTGGGGACATTTCCCCATGCTCTTCAGCATGGATGCCGGCCGGAGGAAGCTGGTCCCATTCTGGGTTCTAGCCCTGGCCCTGGTTTGCAGTCAGCACACAGGTAAGATTCCAGTTTCCAGCTTTCCCAGGTCATTTAGAGAGACATTTTCATTCTCTCATGACCTGGACTCAGGTGGGCAGTAAAGTTCAGAGCCTTATCTGGTTCTGGCAAGCTAAAGGCACCTGTGAGAGGGTCCTGCCAAGCAGCCCTCACCTGCGGCCTGACAACTTCAAATGGTCTTTAATTTAAAAGGCTGGGAAATAACCCTATGTGCCGAGGATTGAGGCTGGGCATCCAGTGTGCGGTGGAGCGGAAGGCTGAGTCTCAGAACCCCCCAGACTGGTCATGGCAGGCTCTCAGCCCTCTCAGGTGCCCCATTTGTGCCAATTATACCAGCTCACAACCCTCTCTGACTGTCATGGCCTCACAAGAAACCATGGGCTGCAAGTGTTGTAGGCATAGCAGGGTGTTCTGGGGAGTGACTTCTCCCAGCATAGTCTAGTAACAGATGCAGGCACCAGGAAACTAGACTTTGAGTGAAGGCCAGTCACAACATTGCTCGGACACTCTTGTGTAGGTATGGGGGCGGGGCATTCTCCTGCCATCATGGCGACTCTGTGCATCAGGCCATTATTGAGTGATAAGTTTTCCATCTGCACGTTGATGGCCAGCAGCCTGGGCTGCCTGAGGCACCTGTCCTGTTCTCAGCTCAGGCCCATCTCCCCTTCTGCAGGCCAGGCCCAGCAGGACACTCTGAAATCTGACCATGCACGTCACTCTGACTTCTCTCTCCTTCAAGGACATGATGGTGAGTCCTAGCTTTTTGTCCCCACTGTTCCTGCCATATCGCCCCCGCCCCAACTCTACCTTAATGTGACCTTGGGTCCCCCAGGACTTCTTGCCTTAATGGATCCTCAGCTAACATACTGGGGAGTGAGAACTTGGAGCTGAAATACACTGTATTATATATGGCTGTGGTCAGTTACCTTCTGTCCCTAACTGATCCAACTCATGGAGGTGTCACAAGCATTCATGCTCAGGCTATGAGGAAGATGGAGAAAGTCTGTCAGGCTGAGTGGGCTATGTCCTCTGCAACATGGGCTCATTCACCCATGTAGATCCTACTTCTATCTCTCTGGGTTTGATTTACCTGTTTTAACATCATAATCACTTTCTGGGTCTTGACCTAGGAACTGGAAGATTGACCACCCCTGCCAAAGCAAGGGGTTTTGTGGGGAGTTGAGGGCCAGCCAGTACCTTGCATTTTACATTTCTCCAAACTGGTTAAAAAGGGAGGGGGGCCTGAGAGGTTGAGCTGTTGACCTAGATTTAGGCATTTGTGAGACTCAGGACACAAACCCCCTTATGCAAACAGAAACTTCTGGTCTCTGTGGCTGATGGCTCCAGGGGTCTTCAAATGACAGTGAGGAGGGAATGCTGTGTGTAGACCTCAGGCTGGGCTATGCCTACCTGAGCCTCAACAGGAAGTAGAATCCAAGCTGGATTGGAGACCTGGGAGTCTGTGGTCCTCTGGGCCACAGTGACACTACAACCTCACTCAAGGCTGTGCATACTGTCTCCACAGCTGCTCCACTCCATGGGGTGACCCTCATCCCACCTCTGAAGACCATCCCTGTGGTACGAGGTGAGTGAACCCCAAAACCTATCCGGGAAGGTGTCCCTAGTTAGCTGGAGTACTTGTCCTTAGACCTGAAGAGCTAGTTTATTTAGGGAGGGCTCCCTGATTTCTGGGTGACAATAGGCGTAGGGAAGGAGGGGCATTCAAAGCTGCTGTGAGCTGATCCCAGGACTTTCTACATCAGATGGGATCTTAGATGCCTACTGTAGGCAGCAGCCTGTCTAATCCCACTGGCACACAGAAAACAGATATCCAGTGTGAAAGGCAGAGCATGGAGGACACATCAGGAACCAGAACAGTGCCTCCAAAGCCTGCATTGCTTTGGTTCACAGCTCTCAACCCAGCACACACTGGGCGGGTGTGCAGCACATGGGGAGACTTCCACTACAAGACCTTTGATGGTCGAGTCTTCCGCTTCCCTGGTCTCTGCAACTATGTGTTCTCCGCACACTGTGGAGCTGCCTATGAGGACTTCAATATCCAGCTACGTCGTAGCCAGGAGTCTAATTCCACCACTCTGAACAGAGTCACCATGAAGCTTGATGGACTAGTTGTCGAGTTGACCAAGAGTTCTGTATTAGTCAATAACCACCCGTGAGTCTAGGGCAGTATTGGGTGGGTGACGGAGGTGTTATGTGGTGAGGTGGAACTAGGACATCAAGGCTGTGGGACACCTGGGTTAGTGAGACTCCATTCCCAGGAGGGAAGCTCCCCAACCCCATGCCCCAGCTGCCCCTTCAGCTCTTCCTTCATACTGGCATTCCAGGTCCCATGTCTCTGTTACACACATGGTGGCAGGGATTTTCTCTCCTGGGGTCTCTCTTGTCTCCTTGTCCCCCAGTACCATCTCCCTACTCTCTTCTACAGGGTCCAGCTGCCCTTCAGCCAGTTTGGGGTCCTCATTGAACTCAGTAATGGCTACTTGAAGGTGGTGGCCAGGCTGGGCCTGGTCTTTATGTGGAATGATGATGACAGTCTCCTGGTGAGAGGGAGTCGAGTCTCTTGGTGGTGGGGAATGGGTGTGGCTGGGCAGAGCCTTCTGGTAAAATAGGGGCAATGTGTGGAGTCTCCCAGTGAGATCGGGCAGTGGGTTAGGAGAGGGGCATAGGTCACACAGCTAGGGAAGATGGGCACCCATGCACACACAGGTCCTGTGTAAGTGGGATGCTTGCTTCAGCCCTGCTCTGAGTCATGGCTTCCTTGACTTCTTGGAAGGGTCTTTTGGCTTGTGTCTCCTGTGGGAGACCTCACTCCTTTTTCTGGGAGTCTATATTTCACATCCTGGGTTGTCTACAGTAGGGCCAGGTGTCTGATGTCTCTTCCAATTTCAGCTGGAGTTGGACACCAAGTACACCAACAAGACTTGTGGTCTCTGTGGAGACTTCAATGGCAGCCCTGAGTTCAGCGAGTTCCTCTCCCACAGTAAGTCCCAGGCAATGCCCTGGGGCCCCAGGAGGCTTAGTTTCCTAGTATCTGAAACCATGTATCTCTATGTACATACAAACACATGCCCTCTCTCCCTCTCCCACTCCCTTCCTTCCTCTCCTCTACACACACACACACACACACACACACACACACACACACACGCAGCTCACACAGGCACACGTATACACACAGGCTTCCCTCTCCACAATTACAGCTCATACATAAGTGCACACAGGCACATTCACATAACCCACTGTCATGTGCATGTACTCTCTTGGCACACTGATACACCCCACAGGTGCTGGTGGGAAACAAGTTCCCTGTCAGATACTCCAACATCCTTCCTCTGTCAGTCCCCCAAAGTCCCATAAAATCTGTGGGTGACAGAGCCTGCCTATGCTGGCTGCCCCTGTCAGGCCAGGCTGTGTGCAGGGTCTGAGGGCTGGTGGAATGTTAGGTTCATTCTGCAGTCCTCTGGGGTACATCACAACCTGACCAGGACTGATGGCTCTGCCTACTCCTCCTGTTGCCCTAGGAACTCCAAGCTCTTTCTGGGCTCCTCTAGTGGGTTCCAGATATCAGCATCCCAGGATGTGGGACTGGGGAAGCCAGGCAGGGATCACAGGAGCACATGGGCATTCTCATTGGGGAGCTCTTTGGACTTGGCTTTTGGGATGATAGGCTGGGACCTATAGACAAGGCTGCTCTGGGCTTCCTGCAGATGTTGTACTGACACCTCTTGAGTTTGGGAACCTCCAGAAGATGGATGGCCCCACAGAGCAGTGCCAGGATCCCCTCCCTGTGCCCCAGAAGAACTGCTCCACCAGATATGTGAGTCTTGAGAGGAATGGGCAGGCAGGATGGGGAGGAGGGCTTTGGGCTCTGGGATAACCCAGGTAGTTCTGGGAAGCTTGGGGTCTGAACTGAGCATGGGCCCTACCCTTGTTCAGGGCATCTGTGAAGAGATCCTGAAAGGTCAGCTGTTCTCAGACTGCTCAGCCCTGGTGGACATCAGCAGCTACCTGGAGGCTTGCCGGCAGGACCTCTGTCTCTGTGAGAGCCCTGACCTGTCCAGCTGCATCTGCCATACCCTGGCTGAGTACTCCCGGCAATGTGCCCATGCTGGAGGACAGCCCCAAGACTGGCGGGGTCCCAACCTCTGCTGTGAGTGCCCTCAGCCCCATTCCTCACCATCATAGCATCATCCAGCAGGCAAGTGGGGCCTGGCTTGATATGATCTTTCCTTCTTGTCTCCCTGCAGCTCAGACGTGTCCCCTCAACATGCAACACCAGGAATGTGGCTCACCCTGTGTGGACACCTGCTCCAACCCCCAGCGCTCGCAGGCCTGTGAGGACCACTGTGTTGCTGGCTGCTTCTGCCCTATGGGTAAGATGGAGTCTCTACCCCACCAACCCAAAGGACACAGCAGCATGAGTGTTCTTGCTGCCATTGTTCAGCCTTGGTGAAAGCTCCCTGTGACCCTGGCCCACAGTGTCTCTGTGCTGTCAAGGTTTACTGAGACTATAGGGTGACACCTATTACATGGATTTGCTTTTTACAGGGATGGTACTTGATGACATCAACCAGACTGGCTGTGTCCCTGTGTCTCAGTGTGCCTGTCTATATAATGGGACATCTTACGCACCGGGTACCAATTACTCTACTGACTGCACCAAGTGGTAGGTCTTGGGCTCCCCATCTAAGAGCCTGACGTATGCCAGGGTTACTTCCTCAGGATGTGTGGATTGGTGAAGTCCCAGGCTGCTGTGACCAATGGGAAGGAGCCTTCAGTTTCGGTGGCAAAAACATCAGGACTGTTGTTCCTGGGACCAGTACACAATATGTCCTTCTTCCCACCCATAGCACATGCTCTGGAGGTCGGTGGAACTGCCAGGAGGTTCCTTGCCCTGGCACCTGCTCAGTGCTAGGAGGTTCACACTTCTCCACATTTGATGAAAGGCAGTACACAGTGCATGGGGACTGCAGCTATGTGCTGAGCAAGGTGAGGCCTATGGTGTACTGGGGGCTTTGATTTTGTGGGCGGCTTCCCAGGTATCACTAGCTTAGGCCTCCTATTACTATTGCACCAGGGAGACCTCTAGTGATTAATGACCCCTGCCATTGCTTTGGCCCTTCTGACCTCATCTTTTTATGGAGACCTATTCTTGTACTTATGTGTTTTTGCTTGTGTGTATGCATGTGTCTTTCTGTGTGTACATGTGCATGGTACCCATGGAGGCCCAAAGAGGCATCTGATTCCCTGGAGTTGGAGTTACAGGTGGTTGGGAGCAATCTGATGTGGGTGCTGGGCACTGAACTTGGGGCCCTTTGCAAGAGCAGTACACACTCAATCATAGGTCCATCTCTCTAGTTCCGGTCTTGTTTTATTTTTAGATCAGTTTCATGCCCATAAATAACCTAAATAGAGAGTCCAGTGGATTCCCAAGCCTCACTATCCCCAGAAGTCTCCCCAGTACTAACATCTTGCTTTAGTGTGATATATTGGTTACAACTGGTAATGAAGACCAGTCAGCCATCCAAAGCAGGGTCACTCATGAGCATGTCCTAGGAGCTGGCAAATGTGAAATGATCTGTGTCTACTACCCTAGTGTCACTCAGTCGTTCTCCATGCTGGTCATCCTAGATACCACCTGTGCATCTCCCTCCCCACCTGGAAACCACTGATCTGTTTTCTTCTTAAAATACTTTATTTTTAAAATTTTCATATATGTTCACAGTGTATTTTGATCATCCACCTCCTCTTCCACTTCCAACTCCCCTCAGTCTCCCCCTACCACACACATCTCCCTCACAATTTCACCTTTAGAATTATTGCACTCAGTAGGTGCATTAAGGCCCCTTGTTAGGTGCTAGGGCATGAGCTCCTAGGAGCCTTTCCTCCTAAGATCAAATGGCTGCTTCTTAGAGTCTATGACAGTGGTGGATCAGAAATTTCCTGCAAGGGGAGGCAGCATGGATTGGAGGAGAGGGAAGATGAGGTAGGCAGGTGTTTGGGCAGTATATGTAAGGACCTGTGTCGCCCCCTGCAGCCCTGTGACAGCAATATCTTCACTGTGCTGGCCGAGCTTCGAAAGTGTGGACTGACAGACAGTGAAACTTGTCTGAAGAGTGTGACACTGAGCCTGGGTGGGGGACAGACGGTGAGTATCACAGGGATTGCTGAGGGGAGCTCAGGCAGAGGCAGGTCCTGGGGTGGGGGTGGGAGTGGAAAGCATATACTCATATGGCCGGTCACCTGGATTCACACCCTGGACAGTGAGTGCATCCACTATGTGTGGATCCTTCTGGGGACTACCCTTAAGTGGAACATTGTAGCTGTTTGTAGCATTTGGCTCCAGGAAAGGAGACTCAAGCATCTATCCAGTACAACTCCATTGCAGTTATTTTATTTTTTTACACGTTAACTTCTGTTTTTATGATACTTAAACTATGGTTCTTTGGAAAGTTTAGAAAATCATGAAAAATATGGGGACAGATCTTTGAACATATGTTTACCACATGGGGACTACAGCTTTGTAGCCCAGGGTCTCCCAGACCTAGCAAGGACACTTCACAGCCTGTGTGGGCTACCAGGAGACAGTTGGAGATACACTGCTTCAGTCCCATACTGACCCCAGTTGATTCTGGAATTGCTTCTAGGTTGTCATAGTGAGAGCCACTGGAGAGGTCTTTGTGAACCAGATTTATACCCAACTTCCAGTGTCTACAGGTGAGAGCTGCTTGTGAATGTAAATGGTGTAATTCCACCCATGGGACATCCTCACCCTGAAACCCTCGTCTTTTGCCCACAGCCAATGTTACCCTCTTCCGGCCTTCAACCTTCTTCATCATTGCCCAGACCAATCTGGGTCTGCAGCTTGAGATCCAGCTGGTGCCCATCATGCAGGTGTTCGTGCGGCTGGCACCTGAGCTCAGGGGTCTGACCTGCGGTAAGAGGCACTGACTCTGGGCCCAAGCCCATTCCATTCTAGAGTCTGCATGGGCCTCAACCTGTCCTCCTGTCCCCAGGGCTCTGTGGGAATTTCAACAATATCCAGGCCGATGACTTCCAGACCATCAGTGGGGTTGTGGAGGGCACAGCAGCTGCCTTCTTCAACACCTTCAAGACCCAGGCGGCTTGTCCTAATGTCAGGAATATCTTTGAAGACCCCTGCTCACACAGTGTGGAGAATGGTGAGTGTAGCTGTTGGTCTTTGTTCTGTTGAATGGTTAGGGGTTGGTTTACTTGCTTCCATTTTTGAGCTAGTTACTTTCCCAAGAAACATTTTCTCAGCAAACTCTGACCTGGCCTGGTGCACAGCTGTCTACCCTGATGTGATGAACAGGCAAACATTAAAGAAACCCCAAAGAGGACACAAACATGCATAGATTGTCATATTAAGGAATGAAAAAAGGAAGCTTCCTTTTGGAATATTTTGACTAAAAGTGAGCCCAAATTTGACTTCTCCATTTTTCTCCTGGTGTTTTCCATCTGTCTATAGTTTGTAGTCAGTGACCTGTCTATTGTATTTGATCTGTCTTTGTTGTGTGTCTGTAACAAAGGGTTTTGCCCCATATTTGCCCCATTTGGAAAATATGGCATGGGGAAGGAATGAGGAATTCTTTTCCATAGAAATTTTTAGCAGAGTTTTACAAAGGAAAAAGTTGCTTTATTGATTCCAGATGACCCAGGATAGCACTCATATCTGCATGTGGCTGCCAACACTCATGGGGTATTTGTTTTTCATGATGTTGCTTTCAACCTACTAGCTGCTTTCAGCAAATGATTATCATAGCATACTTTCATTATTCTGGGCCATGAACATGGAGAAGTACACAGTTTAAGATTAAAATCATATATTTAGCTTAGGTTACAATGCTAATTACAGAGGAAATCCAAGGCATATTAAGGTCAGTTATTCTGTTCTTCTTGAGTTAGGTTAAACTCACAATAGGACAGCAGGTTGAGTACACTGTCTTAAATGATTGCAAGGCTTAATATTAACTTGGCTGCAGCATCTGGCAAAAGGTCAGTCTTCTTGAAGGCAAGCAGAACATATAGTTTCAGATAATATATTGCTACAGTTATACCATGTAGCATTCATTACAAGTGAAACAGGTGTGGGTCCTCCAGGGAAGAGTGGTGACCAGCATCCATGCCTACCAGTTGGCAGGGAGGACATGAGGGACCTCTGGGACAGAGTCACAGATGGTTAGGAACTTCATCTGCTTCATTATGTACATAGGACATAGGATATCAGGGGCCCTGCTTCAGGTTAAAAGACTCTAATGTAGTTGTGACGTTGCCCAGCCCACCAAGTAGGGCTGAGGAGGTGGGGTTCAGTATCAGCTAGTACTGCCCCCTTCCCCTCTATATTTTGGTTCAGAAGTTTTGACTACTGTCTTTGGTGATGGTCATTCATATTCCTAGGAGGTGAGAGCTCTGGGGACATAGGAAAGGAGAGACACAATGACTATAGCTTTTCCATACCTCATGTATGTTGCAATGACACCTGTGGTGCCACCTGCAATATGGTTAAGTGCCCAAGATGTCTGTCTGCTCAGAGGTGCAAGACGTCACAAACCCCAAGCTGGGGGAAACCAGGGCCTTGGGTGAATAAATGGCTGATGGGTTCTCTTCTATCCACAGAGAAGTATGCCCAGCACTGGTGTTCTCAGCTGACTGATGCCAGTGGCCCGTTTTCCCAGTGCCACACCACCGTGAACCCTGGCACCTACTTCTCGGTAATGTCCAATCAGTACTTCTTTAGCTAGCTAGGACTCCAACACTGCATTGTGTGTCCCCTCTTGGGAGGACCAGAAGACGCTGGAGGGAGGCAATTGACAGGCAGCAGGTGGCAGGGATATGCTCCCAAGTATGTCTCTCTGGTTCCTTCACTTACTCATTCATCACTTGTTCATCGGGTTTAAATCAAGCCTCTGCTCTACACTAGAAACAGGGCTAAGCATGAATCTTTTGAGAAATGTGAGTAATAGGACAGTAAGGAAGTCGAAGTGTTCCAAGGCTGGATGTGGAAGGCCGCAGAGCTAAAGGGCCAAGGTCTTCCCAGAATCCATGTCCTAGCAGGAAGGTTGGGTACACCTGAGATATCTGAGATATCAACATTAAAATGAACTGCAGAGGAATGGGGGATGGGCAGGTCCCAAGGAAGGTAAGGAAGGTGGGACTGTGAGAGGTGTGTGTGTGTGTGTGTGTGTGTGTGTGTGTGTGTGTGAAGCTCAGTCAGATGCCACGCTCTTGGATGTGAGGCTGGGTCCCTGATGCGCTGATGTTTTCACCCACAGAACTGCATGTTTGACACGTGCAACTGTGAGAAGAGTGAGGACTGCATGTGCGCAGCCCTGTCCTCCTATGTGCGTGCTTGTGCCGCCAAAGGCGTGCTGCTCAGTGGCTGGAGAGATGGCATCTGCGGTGAGTGTTCTGTGGGCCAGCTGGGCTCTCTTTCTCTACAGGTTAGCCCCCCCCCCCAAGAGCTGATTGGATGCTCCAAGGGTCCTATCACTCTACCAGTCTCTGAAACTAAGGGAGACCCAAGCCATTGTGATTAAGAGCCCTCATCAGGAGATTATCTGAGGGAGCTGGAAAGGCCTTGAACTGCTAGGCCCTCTGTTGTTGATTGCTAGACTATGTGTTCACCAGTGTTCTAAGTGTCCCCCCTTCTGCTCTCACACAGCAAAGGCTACAACTACCTGTCCCAAGTCGATGACCTACCAATACCACATCAGCACCTGCCAGCCCACCTGTCGTGCTCTGAATGAGGAGGATGTCACCTGCCATGTCAACTTCATCCCTGTAGATGGTTGCACCTGCCCTGCAGGCACCTTCTTGGATGATTCAGGCAAATGTGTGCAGGCCACCAGCTGTCCCTGCTACCACAGGGGATCTACAGTTCCCAACGGCGAGTCTGTGCATGACAGTGGGGCCATTTGGTAAGACCCTTAGGCCTGGCAGACTGTTCCCAGAGGACCACTAGTCACCCCGCTCCATGCACCTGTAGTCATGCAGACAAGGAGGACATGGCAGGGATTCATGGGGCCCAGAGTAGATGGTGTTCTAATAGTTCTCTACTCACAGCACCTGCACCCAAGGAACACTGACCTGCATCGGAGGTCCTGCCCCAACTCCAGGTGAGCCTATCCCAAGTGAACAGAGCTGGAGTTAATGATCAGTTTCATGGGCTCAGGAATAGGGGAGATGAGGGTGTGGACACTGGGCACACTTATTCATGAAAGCACTCAATGCACACACACATCACATACACCATACACACACACACACATACTTCACACACATCACACGCACACTCACATATCACACACATACACCACACACACTTCACACACATCACATGTACACTCACATATCATACACACCACAGACACGCACACACACCACATACACACACCATACATACCACACACACCACACAAACCACACACACACATCACAACACACTCTTACACAGTCTCTCTCTCTCTCTCTCTCTCTCTCTCTCTTTCTCTTTCACTCACACACACTCCAGTGTGCATAACACAGATATGCACCTTCCCCTCCCACTACAGGGCAGCCACATGCTCGGCTGCCTGGAAAGGAAAGACTGAGATGTTACAGCACTGGCCTCCCTCAGAGAAAGCCTGGCAGGGGTGGATAGCATCACCTCATTGGTCCCCTTCCTTCTCCAGTGTGTGATGCACCCATGATCTATTTTGACTGTCGCAATGCTGCACCTGGGGACACTGGAGCTGGATGTCAGAAGAGCTGTCACACCCTGGACATGACCTGTGTAAGTGACCTGGTCATTCCCCAATAACTCTTCCTAGGAGCTTCTTGATGACCCGCTTACTTCCTTGACTTCTCCTGCTATGGTATCTGTAGAGACCATTAGGCCCCCTCATGGAGGTTCTTGGAGCAGAGCAGCAGGGCTCTCCAATGCTGAAGGCCTTCGGGGCAGCCTGGCTAGACTGTGTTCCCAGAGCACCCCTGGGCACTCTGATATTGGGCCTCCTGCTCCCATGGCACCTGATGTCCTACAGACAAAGAGGACATGTCAGCCCTAGACATCCATCCACATCCAGTCCCACTCACTTTGTTGTCCATATGTCCTACAGTACAGCTCTGAATGTGTGCCTGGCTGTGTGTGCCCGGATGGGTTGGTGGCAGATGGTAATGGAGGCTGTGTTGTTGCTGAGGACTGTCCTTGTGTGCACAATGAGGCCACTTACAGGCCTGGAGAGACCATCCGCGTGGGCTGCAACAACTGGTATGTGAGGGTCACAGCAGGAGAGGTGGGTATCCAAGCTGTCACCAGGCACAGAGGTCCTTGTTAGGAATGGGCTAAGCCCCAACATGGCCTCTAATGGACATCCACGGCACAGGCTCTCAAGGCCTCTGGCTCTGTGCTTGGGTTTCCCAGAACGGGTCCCCACAGAGTCTCTGGGAAGGTTCCCATTCCCGCGGGAGCACTCAGCTGACCTCTACCTTCTGTGTAGCACCTGTCAGGACAGGAAGTGGAGGTGCACAGACAAGCCCTGCCTGGCCACCTGTGCTGTGTATGGGGATGGCCACTACCTCACTTTTGATGGGCAGCGCTACAGCTTCAGTGGAGACTGCGAGTACACACTGCTGCAGGTATGCCTGGCTGACAGCCTCTCCTGTGGCCGCCCACAACCACAGGTGCTCACCACCCTTGCCTGTCCCCTGACGGCTTTCTGTTCCTCCAGGACCACTGTGGTGGGAACGGCAGCTCCCAGGATGCCTTTCGTGTTGTCACAGAGAACATCCCCTGTGGTACTACAGGAACCACCTGCTCCAAGGACATCAAGATCTTCCTGGGGGTGAGTGGAATGGAGCTGGCAGAACACCCTGGGGGTTCTACAGTGGTGCAGGGGCACACAGGAGGGGGTGTGGTTCTGGATAGGCCCTGAGGACCCCTTGTCACACAGAACTATGAGCTGAAGCTGAGTGACGGCAAAGTGGAGGTGGTCCAGAAGGGTGTGGGGCAGGAGCCCCCGTACTATGTCCACCAGATGGGCATCTACCTGGTGGTGGAAACCGACGCTGGCCTGGTGCTTATGTGGGACAGGAAGACCAGCATCTTTCTCAGACTCAGCCCTGAGTTCAAGGTGAGACTGCTGTTACCCCGCTCAGGGGCTGGGGCATACATGGGGCTGGGGACATGAACAGAGAGAGACAGAAACACACACAGAGCGAGAGAGAGGAGGTATAAAGAGACAGAGGCAGAGATAGTCAGTGATGGACAGAGACTGTGAGAGATCGGGACACACAGAGAAAGGCAAAGGAAGACAGAGAGAGGCAGTCCCAGGAGATGGCTCAGTGGAGGAAAGATGCTTGTTGACAAGTCTGATGACCTCAGGCTTGAGGTCCAATTCCCAAGACCCACATGGTAGGAGAAGTGACTTTCACAAGCTGCCCTCTGACCTCCACAAGAGCTCTGCGGCACACACATCCCTTAATATAAGTTTTTGAGGGGGGGATGGATGGGAAGAACCTTTAGAAGAGCAGTGAGGAGATCCCTTGCTGTGTGTGTGTGTTCCTGTTTTTGTAGCAAATGACCATAAACTGGGTGGCCAGTTCTATTTTGTATCTGGACTCTAGGAGCCCAAGTGATGTGTCAGTACGGCTGCAGTCCCTCTGGAGGCTCAGGAGGGTCTTTCTTGCCTCTTTAGCTTGTGGGGCTCCAGGCATCCTTAGATTGTGGCTTCAGTATCCCAATCTCCATCTCTGTTGTCGCACGGTTGACTGCGTGTAGCTGTCTATATTTTTCTTTTTAATAAGGATACTAGACAGGGGATGCAGGATTCACTCTGCCTTAGTGAGACCTCATCTCACTTGACCATGTCTTCAAAGAAGGCCCCACTCACAAGCTCCAGGGTTAGAAAGGGACAAATAAGGGGACACTGTTCAGCTCAATGCAGTATTTTGGACTGCAACTCAAGACAGAATCCAAGCTGAGTGCCACAGCTCCATGCTCACACTACAAAGTGACTGAGAACTGACACTAAGTCAAGCTGGAGGGAAGAAGAACAAAGCAGCCTGGCGGGGAAGAATGGAGAATGAGGTTTCCTGGGATGCCAAGCTGGGGGACTCACAGGCCTCCTGAGATGTCATGAGCAGGGCTTGTGGCCTGAGGAATGACACAGATGGGCACCAACGCCATGCGCCATCACTAGACAACAAAGGGCCTTATAAACTCATACTTGCTAGTCTTTCTGGGCTCATCCTTTGGGACATTGGGTGATAATAGAGCAAAATGGATATCAGGGTCCAGGAAGGGGGCTCTGGCCCGTATCTCTAATCTTTGTGCTTCTATAGGGCAAGGTCTGTGGCCTATGTGGGAATTTTGACGACAATGCCATCAATGACTTCACCACACGCAGCCAGTCTGTGGTCGGTGATGTGCTGGAATTTGGAAATAGCTGGAAGTTCTCTCCATCCTGCCCAGATGCCCTGGTGCCCAAGGACCCCTGCATTGCCAACCCTTACCGCAAGTCCTGGGCCCAAAAGCAATGCAGCATCATCAACAGTGAAAGCTTCAATACCTGCCATGCCCATGTACGGCAGTGGGGCTGGGTGGTCTCTGGACTTTAGGATGGAGAACCCATCATCTGAGGGTGTGGGTGTCTGGGGGTCAAGAATTCACACGTGTATGCCAGAACAGGTTATGGTTTGGAGGCTGTTAACTCTGAACCTGGACTGAGGAAGCTTCAGGTAGCTCCATGATCAGAGCCAGCCTATGGAAAGCATGATGTCCTGGCTAGACATTCATGGTCATACATTTGTCACTATGAATATTAGTAGAAACTGACCAAAATTATTAGGCCAACATATTCACTAAGAGCTGAGGGAGACAGGAGTCCTCAGAGCCTGAAGCCTTTGACTCTTTCAGGTGGAACCCACCAAGTACTATGAAGCCTGTGTGAGTGACGCATGTGCCTGTGACTCAGGAGGAGACTGCGAGTGTTTCTGTACTGCTGTGGCTGCCTATGCCCAGGCCTGTCACGAAGTGGGAGTGTGTGTGTCCTGGAGAACACCAGACATCTGCCGTGAGTGGGGCTCTCTCTGTGTTGCTGAAGGGTGGGACTGGGGATGAGGTGGGTGATAGCCTCTCCTGCTCCTCCTGGCTTGGTTCTGGCTAGTACACACACACACACACACACACACACACACACACACACACACACACACACACCCCTCCCTCCAGTGTGTGTGTATGTGTGCACACACATCTGTATATGTCCTGCACATCCAAGTGCACAAACACTGTAGCCACTCAACAGATGGCTCTAACATGAGTGGCTCCAAGGGCTGGGAACTGCAGGGGCTGAGCTAGGATGTCTGCTATGAGTGCTCTGGGAAGGACTGTGGTCCCAGGCAGGAGAGGCCGGCTCTGTGTGTCCATCAGGATACACTGAAGGACCAATAGTTTCCTAAGGAAAATGAACTGAGGGTGAGCATCTGTGGGAGGAAGCTTGGCCTCAGAACATGTTCTGCAATGGAGGCACCAGTACACCTTCTTAGGCAGTCCATGTGAAGCCCCGAGGAAGCAGTATTCCTGGGGGCAGCTGCTGTAGCTGGAGAGTCCCTTTTGATGTTTGCCTTTTTGGCACCCCTATTAGTCTGAAACCCATATCTGAATCACTTTCCCTCAGGGTGGGGTGGAAAATGGTTTAGCAGACCCTAGGTGCAGGTTTACCCCAGTAATTCTCCCTCCTTTCTAGCATTATTCTGTGACTACTACAACCCAGAGGGTCAGTGTGAGTGGCACTACCAGCCATGTGGGGTCCCCTGCATGCGCACCTGCCAGAACCCTAGTGGACACTGCCTATATGATCTCCATGGCCTTGAAGGTAGGCTGAAGGCTGAGCTTGGAAGGTCAGGGTCTATTGGGTTCCTAGGATCTGGACTGGGGTCTAACCTGGAATCTGAGGCCTAGGGCCTTCTTATGGGAACCTTGGTTGGGATAAATTCTTCCTGATCCCACTAGGAGCCTTTGTAGCTTCAACCTCAAACACTAGTGTGGATGACGCTGGACCCTAGGACAGACCTGGGCCCTGGTGTGAGAGGGCTTTGTGGGAGACTGTCTGGAACTTAGGTCTTTTGGTCCCCAGGCTGCTACCCCAAGTGCCCACCAACAGCCCCTATCTTTGATGAGGGTACGATGCAGTGTGTATCCAACTGTACAGTCACCCTCTCGCCTCCACCACGGCGTCCCTGCCACATCAATGGAAAGTTGTACCGTCTGGGTGCGAAAGTACCTTCAGACAAGAACTGCTATTCCTGGTAAGTCATTCACCCAGAATGATGTGGAACCTGAAATGCCATGGGGAGTCCAAGTCAACCTTATCCTCAGCATCAGCCTAGAGTCTAGAAGCATCCTCAACCCAAGGTTGCATGCACTGAGGGGAAAGAGCAATACCACCAGTCCTTTGTGCCCCTTGTATACACACCTGCCAGAATCCCCAAGCTTCAGCTAGGAGGGAGAGCCCTCTTGTCTTAGGCTCGTTGAGAGAAAGGACACCCTTGGCTTGAGGCTGAGCTGGGAAGAAGGATGCCTTTGTTCTAAGGCTCATTTGAAAAGGGAGGACACCATTGACCTAAAATCCAGCTGTGTGAATGCAATGGTGTCCTTAGCCAAGATGCCCTCCTAGGGATGAGGGGACAATGCCCATCAAAGTCCACCTTGCCTCTATTGGTTATTGACGGGGGTGATGTTTGAGAGTGTGACCTTAATGGAGTGGATCCTGGAAGACTGAAGGTTAGGACTTGAGCGGGACCACAGCCTCCAGCTCAGGACTGTAACTGTGCTGCTTCATCACCAACACTAAGCACACGGGATGCAGGTGGTTCCAGTTCCCATGCACTCACTCCCACTTTTCCTTCTCCTGACAGCATTTGCACAGAGAACGGTGTGAACTGTACCTATGATGCTTCTGGTGAGTACCTGCAGCTTTCTCTGAGCTGGAGACAGTATGAGGGGAGTCACCGCTGGTGTCATAGCACCCCTGACAGGCTAAACATCTATTCCCCACAGCCTGTGTCTGTACCTACAATGGTCAACACTTCCATCCTGGGAAAATCATCTATCACACGACAGACGGCACAGGAGGCTGCATCTCTGCATACTGCAGGGCCAACGGTACCATCGAAAGAAATATCGACACCTGCAGCCCCACTACTCCCATGCCCCCGACCACTTTCTCCTTCTCCACACCAGTTGGTAAGGAGATGCGACTGGTGGCAGAAAATGCTAGGCTGAGTGTGGGTGTCTCTCTTCCTGCTGACTGTTTTACTGATTCTCTTGTAGAATGTTAAGTAATGGGTAGCTCTGGGTATTGGTGGCAGGTCCTGAGGCTGGAGAAGGGGCCTAGGAGTTGGGTACCAGGAACATGGGTACCCTGCTTTTATCTCACAGCAGGAAGGGATCAATTTCCCTGACCCACTCTGGCAGGCCCGATGTCTATGGTACCATTTTCTGTAGCTACTGGACTCAGATCTCAGGGAAGTGTGGGCCTTAGCTTAGAGACTTTAAGCACAAGTGGCCGCAGGCCAGCTCTTAGATGAATATGAGATTTCCCCCAGAATTTATAGCTGCCTGTTTGCCTTATACTACATGGACCACTAAATCCCTGATGTCTCACCCTGTTTGTCAGAGTACTCTCAGCTAGTTTTGAGGGGATAAAAGCATGTAGATTCTGCTCATTGGATGGCAAGGAGAGCAGGTTCCCTTTAGAGGAGATTAATTTGTCTGTTCACAGATCCAATATGCTCTTCTTCTGTTCACCAAGAAGTAGGTTCTGAGTAATGTGGCTCCGGTATTCAGTTTTCAGTTAGTGTGACCATGGCGGTGAGACTCAAGGCAGCTGACATATGAGGAAGAAGGATATGACCAGGGACAGGTAGAAAGCCCCAAGGCCCTGATGCTCACTCCTGTTACTTTTGTCCACAGTCATGACTTCAATGCCACCCTCCAGCATACATCCCAGCTCTGCCCCGAGAGTAGCATACACAGGGTCACCGAGCACAGCTGCATCAACAATAAGCAGCATGTTGTCTGTGAAGACGCCTGCCAGAGCCTCCACTCTGACCACGTCAACTCCTACCTCACGACTCACATCTTCCTCATCAGCTCCAAGTCCATCTACTTCTGCCACAGTTAGTTCCACCACTGTTAAAACAACTCTGTCCAATACTAGCCCAACTTCAGAGCCAACTTCAGCCACATCGTCTGTGTCCATCCCAACCTCAGGATCCACCACAGCTTCTTTTGAGACGACCCATGAATGCAAACGAGAGCTATGCAGTTGGACTGATTGGATGGATGGCAGCTACCCTGGGCCTGATAGAAACAGTGGAGATTTTGACACTTTTGTGAACCTGAGATCCAAAGGATACAAGTTCTGTGAGAAGCCACAAAATGTTGAGTGTAGGGCTCAGTTCTTTCCCAACACACCCCTGGAGGAGCTGGGGCAGAATGTGACTTGCAACCGAGAGGAAGGGTTAATCTGTTTGAATAAAAACCAGCTTCCACCCATTTGTTACAACTATGAGATCCGGATAGAGTGCTGCACAGTAGTGGACCAGTGCTCCACGGCTTCAGCTGCCACACATCCTACCCAACATGAAATAAGCACAGAAACAAAGACCACTTGGACTATAAGCTTGCATTCCCCTTCCATCAAGGACACCAGTACTCACTCAGCAACCATACACACGAAGACCTGGCTAACAGGCAGCCCACACACAGTCACCAGACCAGAGACCACACACTGCCAGCTACAGTGCACCTGGACCAAGTGGTTTGACACCGACTTCCCGGAGCCCGGTCCACATGGAGGGGACCTGGAAACCTACAGCAGCATCCTGAGGACGGGAGAGAAGATCTGTCACCGGCCAGAGGAGGTCACACAGCTGGAATGCAGGGCTGAGAACCACCCTGAGATGAGGCTTGAGGACCTGGGTCAGGTGGTACAGTGTGACCCCTCTGTGGGCCTGGTGTGCAGGAACCGGGACCAGCAGGACATGTCTGGGATGTGCCTCAACTACGAGGTGCGCGTGCTCTGCTGCCGCCTTCCTGAAGGCTGCCCAACCACCACACGTGCCACGCTTTCCAGCACCCCAAGGGACACTGTCACCAGCTCATCTCCAGGCATGACATCTGTGCATACAGCAAGCAGTACATCCATGCCCCCAACCAGGACAACCATTGTGGAGACTATCAGCACCACTTCCACACCCCAAACCAGATCAATCTCTGGGCAGACTGCCAGCACCATGTCCACCAGGGACACCAGGACCATGTCTGTGCAGACAGACAGCATGACATTCATGCCTAAATCCAGACAAACCTCAGAGCAGCCAGCCAGTACCACCTACACACATCAAACCAGCTCAGTCTCTGGGCAGACGGCCAGCACCATGTCCACCAGAGACACCAGGACCATGTCTGTGCAGACAGACAGCACAACATCCATGCCTAAATCCAGACAAACCTCTAGGCAACCAGTGAGCACCACTTCCAAACCCCAAACCAGCTCAGTCTCTGGGCAGACTGCCAGCACCATGCACACCAGAGACACCAGGACCATGTCTGTGCAGACAGACAGCACGACATTCATGCCTAAATCCAGACAAACCTCAGAGCAGCCAGCCAGTACCACCTACATACCCCAAACCAGCTCAGTCTCTGGGCAGACGGCTAGCACCATGCACACCAGAGACACCAGAACCACCTCTGAGAAGACAACCAATATCATGTCCACCAGGAAATCCAGGACCATGTCTGTGCAGACAGACAGCACGACATCCATGCCTAAATCCAGACAAACCTCTAGGCAACCAGTGAGCACCACTTCCAAACCCCAAACCAGCTCAGTCTCTGGGCAGACGGCCAGCACCATGCCCACCAGGGACACCAGGACCACCTCTGGGCAGACTGCCAGCACAACATTCATGGGAAAAACCAGTGCCATCTCTGTGCCTGGAACCAGAGCCACCTCTGCCCCTCTCAGCACCACAAGCCCTGGGCCTGATTCTGGCATGACGTCCTCCCCAGAGACCACACACTGCCAGCTACAGTGCACCTGGACCAAGTGGTTTGACACCGACTTCCCGGAGCCCGGTCCACATGGAGGGGACCTGGAAACCTACAGCAGCATCCTGAGGACGGGAGAGCAGATCTGTCACCGGCCAGAGGAGGTCACACAGCTGGAATGCAGGGCTGAGAACCACCCTGAGATGAGGCTTGAGGACCTGGGTCAGGTGGTACAGTGTGACCCCTCTGTGGGCCTGGTGTGCAGGAACCGGGACCAGCAGGACATGTCTGGGATGTGCCTCAACTACGAGGTGCGCGTGCTCTGCTGCCGCCTTCCTGAAGGCTGCCCAACCACCACACGTGCCACGCTTTCCAGCACCCCAAGGGACACTGTCACCAGCTCATCTCCAGGCATGACATCTGTGCATACAGCAAGCAGTACATCCATGCCCCCAACCAGGACAACCATTGTGGAGACTATCAGCACCACTTCCACACCCCAAACCAGATCAATCTCTGGGCAGACTGCCAGCACCATGTCCACCAGGGACACCAGGACCATGTCTGTGCAGACAGACAGCATGACATTCATGCCTAAATCCAGACAAACCTCAGAGCAGCCAGCCAGTACCACCTACACACATCAAACCAGCTCAGTCTCTGGGCAGACGGCCAGCACCATGTCCACCAGAGACACCAGGACCATGTCTGTGCAGACAGACAGCACAACATCCATGCCTAAATCCAGACAAACCTCTAGGCAACCAGTGAGCACCACTTCCAAACCCCAAACCAGCTCAGTCTCTGGGCAGACTGCCAGCACCATGCACACCAGAGACACCAGGACCATGTCTGTGCAGACAGACAGCACGACATTCATGCCTAAATCCAGACAAACCTCAGAGCAGCCAGCCAGTACCACCTACATACCCCAAACCAGCTCAGTCTCTGGGCAGACGGCTAGCACCATGCACACCAGAGACACCAGAACCACCTCTGAGAAGACAACCAATATCATGTCCACCAGGAAATCCAGGACCATGTCTGTGCAGACAGACAGCACGACATCCATGCCTAAATCCAGACAAACCTCTAGGCAACCAGTGAGCACCACTTCCAAACCCCAAACCAGCTCAGTCTCTGGGCAGACGGCCAGCACCATGCCCACCAGGGACACCAGGACCACCTCTGGGCAGACTGCCAGCACAACATTCATGGGAAAAACCAGTGCCATCTCTGTGCCTGGAACCAGAGCCACCTCTGCCCCTCTCAGCACCACAAGCCCTGGGCCTGATTCTGGCATGACGTCCTCCCCAGAGACCACACACTGCCAGCTACAGTGCACCTGGACCAAGTGGTTTGACACCGACTTCCCGGAGCCCGGTCCACATGGAGGGGACCTGGAAACCTACAGCAGCATCCTGAGGACGGGAGAGAAGATCTGTCACCGGCCAGAGGAGGTCACACAGCTGGAATGCAGGGCTGAGAACCACCCTGAGATGAGGCTTGAGGACCTGGGTCAGGTGGTACAGTGTGACCCCTCTGTGGGCCTGGTGTGCAGGAACCGGGACCAGCAGGACATGTCTGGGATGTGCCTCAACTACGAGGTGCGCGTGCTCTGCTGCCGCCTTCCTGAAGGCTGCCCAACCACCACACGTGCCACGCTTTCCAGCACCCCAAGGGACACTGTCACCAGCTCATCTCCAGGCATGACATCTGTGCATACAGCAAGCAGTACATCCATGCCCCCAACCAGGACAACCATTGTGGAGACTATCAGCACCACTTCCACACCCCAAACCAGATCAATCTCTGGGCAGACTGCCAGCACCATGTCCACCAGGGACACCAGGACCATGTCTGTGCAGACAGACAGCATGACATTCATGCCTAAATCCAGACAAACCTCAGAGCAGCCAGCCAGTACCACCTACACACATCAAACCAGCTCAGTCTCTGGGCAGACGGCCAGCACCATGTCCACCAGAGACACCAGGACCATGTCTGTGCAGACAGACAGCACAACATCCATGCCTAAATCCAGACAAACCTCTAGGCAACCAGTGAGCACCACTTCCAAACCCCAAACCAGCTCAGTCTCTGGGCAGACTGCCAGCACCATGCACACCAGAGACACCAGGACCATGTCTGTGCAGACAGACAGCACGACATTCATGCCTAAATCCAGACAAACCTCAGAGCAGCCAGCCAGTACCACCTACATACCCCAAACCAGCTCAGTCTCTGGGCAGACGGCTAGCACCATGCACACCAGAGACACCAGAACCACCTCTGAGAAGACAACCAATATCATGTCCACCAGGAAATCCAGGACCATGTCTGTGCAGACAGACAGCACGACATCCATGCCTAAATCCAGACAAACCTCTAGGCAACCAGTGAGCACCACTTCCAAACCCCAAACCAGCTCAGTCTCTGGGCAGACGGCCAGCACCATGCCCACCAGGGACACCAGGACCACCTCTGGGCAGACTGCCAGCACAACATTCATGGGAAAAACCAGTGCCATCTCTGTGCCTGGAACCAGAGCCACCTCTGCCCCTCTCAGCACCACAAGCCCTGGGCCTGATTCTGGCATGACGTCCTCCCCAGAGACCACACACTGCCAGCTACAGTGCACCTGGACCAAGTGGTTTGACACCGACTTCCCGGAGCCCGGTCCACATGGAGGGGACCTGGAAACCTACAGCAGCATCCTGAGGACGGGAGAGAAGATCTGTCACCGGCCAGAGGAGGTCACACAGCTGGAATGCAGGGCTGAGAACCACCCTGAGATGAGGCTTGAGGACCTGGGTCAGGTGGTACAGTGTGACCCCTCTGTGGGCCTGGTGTGCAGGAACCGGGACCAGCAGGACATGTCTGGGATGTGCCTCAACTACGAGGTGCGCGTGCTCTGCTGCCGCCTTCCTGAAGGCTGCCCAACCACCACACGTGCCACGCTTTCCAGCACCCCAAGGGACACTGTCACCAGCTCATCTCCAGGCATGACATCTGTGCATACAGCAAGCAGTACATCCATGCCCCCAACCAGGACAACCATTGTGGAGACTATCAGCACCACTTCCACACCCCAAACCAGATCAATCTCTGGGCAGACTGCCAGCACCATGTCCACCAGGGACACCAGGACCATGTCTGTGCAGACAGACAGCATGACATTCATGCCTAAATCCAGACAAACCTCAGAGCAGCCAGCCAGTACCACCTACACACATCAAACCAGCTCAGTCTCTGGGCAGACGGCCAGCACCATGTCCACCAGGGACACCAGGACCATGTCTGTGCAGACAGACAGCACGACATCCATGCCTGGATCCAGACAAACTTCTGAGCAGACAGCTAGTATGACCTCCAAACCCAAAACCAGATCAAAACCTATAGGAAAATCTGTCACCACCTCTGGGCAGAAGAAGTCCAGCACCATGTCTACCACAGGTACCAGCACCATCTCTGAGAAGACAGCCAGTGCCACCTATATACCCCAAACCAGCTCAGTCTCTGGGCAGACGGCCAGCACCATGTCCACCAGGGAATCCAGGACGATGTCTGTGCAGACAGACAGCACAACATCCATGCCTAAATCCAGACAAACCTCTAGGCAACCAGTGAGCACCACTTCCAAACCCCAAACCAGCTCAGTCTCTGGGCAGACGGCCAGCACCATGTCCACCAGGGAATCCAGGACGATGTCTGTGCAGACAGACAGCACAACATCCATGCCTAAATCCAGACAAACCTCTAGGCAACCAGTGAGCACTACTTCCAAACCCCAAACCAGATCAATCTCTGGGCAGACTGCCAGCACCATGCACACCAGGGACACCAGGACCATGTCTGTGCAGACAGACAGTATGACATCCATGCCTGGATCCAGACAAACCTCTGGGCAACCCTTCCGCACCATCTACATACCCCAAACTAGCTCAGTCTCTGGGCAGACGGCCAGCACCATGCACACCAGAGACACCAGAACCACCTCTGAGAAGACAACCAATATCATGTCCACCAGGGAATCCAGGACCATGTCTGTGCAGACAGACAGCACGACATCCATGCCTAAATCCAGACAAACCTCTAGGCAACCAGTGAGCACCACTTCCAAACCCCAAACCAGCTCAGTCTCTGGGCAGACGGCCAGCACCATGCCCACCAGGGACACCAGGACCACCTCTGGGCAGACTGCCAGCACAACATTCATGGGAAAAACCAGTGCCATCTCTGTGCCTGGAACCAGAGCCACCTCTGCCCCTCTCAGCACCACAAGCCCTGGGCCTGATTCTGGCATGACGTCCTCCCCAGAGACCACACACTGCCAGCTACAGTGCACCTGGACCAAGTGGTTTGACACCGACTTCCCGGAGCCCGGTCCACATGGAGGGGACCTGGAAACCTACAGCAGCATCCTGAGGACGGGAGAGAAGATCTGTCACCGGCCAGAGGAGGTCACACAGCTGGAATGCAGGGCTGAGAACCACCCTGAGATGAGGCTTGAGGACCTGGGTCAGGTGGTACAGTGTGACCCCTCTGTGGGCCTGGTGTGCAGGAACCGGGACCAGCAGGACATGTCTGGGATGTGCCTCAACTACGAGGTGCGCGTGCTCTGCTGCCGCCTTCCTGAAGGCTGCCCAACCACCACACGTGCCACGCTTTCCAGCACCCCAAGGGACACTGTCACCAGCTCATCTCCAGGCATGACATCTGTGCATACAGCAAGCAGTACATCCATGCCCCCAACCAGGACAACCATTGTGGAGACTATCAGCACCACCTCCACACCCCAAACCAGATCAACACCTGTAGGAAAATCTGTCACCACTACTGGGCAAATAGCCAGCACCATGTCCATCAGGCGCACCAGAACCCCCTCTGTGCAGACAGCTAGCACCAAGTCCACCAGGCGCCCCAGGACGCGGACTGCACATGTAGCCAGCACCACATCCACCAGGCACTCCAGAACCCCGATTGCACATATAGTCAGCACCACGTCCACCACAAGCACCAGAACTCCATCTGTGCAGACAGCCAGCACCAAGTTCACCAGGCGCCCCAGGACCCGGACTGCAAATGTAGCCAGCACCACGTCCACCAGGCACCCCAGGACTCCGATTGCACATATAATCAGCACCATGTCTACCAGGAGCACTGGAACCCCGTCTATGCAAACAGCCAGCAAGACATTCATGGGAAAAACCAGTGCCATCTCTGTGCCTGGAACCAGAGCCACCTCTGCCCCTCTCAGCACCACAAGCCCTGGGCCTGATTCTGGCATGACGTCCTCCCCAGAGACCACACACTGCCAGCTACAGTGCACCTGGACCAAGTGGTTTGACACCGACTTCCCGGAGCCCGGTCCACATGGAGGGGACCTGGAAACCTACAGCAGCATCCTGAGGACGGGAGAGAAGATCTGTCACCGGCCAGAGGAGATCACACAGCTGGAATGCAGGGCTGAGAACCACCCTGAGATGAGGCTTGAGGACCTGGGTCAGGTGGTACAGTGTGACCCCTCTGTGGGCCTGGTGTGCAGGAACCGGGACCAGCAGGACATGTCTGGGATGTGCCTCAACTACGAGGTGCGCGTGCTCTGCTGCCGCCTTCCTGAAGGCTGCCCTGGGACCTATGGGACTTCCCCAGTGACATCATCTCACAAGCCTTCATTTCCAGTTGTGTCACCCTCATCTGTGTCCCCATCCTCATTGTCCAGCCCCAGGGTACACTCTGCCATCCCTTGTTTGTGTAACGTGTCAGACCATTTATACCCTATCGGTAAGTGAGATATCTTTATACAGTTTCTTAAGGCACTCTATTACCTGATTTTCTTCTGTGAAAGTCCTTGACTTTGGCAGATGGTGCCATAGTTTCCTTCAAACATTTCTAGTCTCATCTTTCTTACATTGCATGGGAAGTCTTGAGGTTGGCAACCTACTATCTAGGGAGCAGGTTTTTCTCCCAGGGCCTCTGTGACCTCTACATACCTCTTCATCTTGCAGGATCCATCATCTACAGCCAGACAGATCTTGATGGCCACTGTTACTATGCATTGTGCAGCCAGGACTGCCAGGTGGTTAGAAGGGTTAGTCAGATCTGCCCCTCCACCATGCCACCGCCTACCCCAGCTCTGTCCACCTCTACATCTATCATCACACCTACCACTGAGCAGGATAGGTGCAATGTGTTTCCTCCAAGAATGGTAAGTCTATCTGCTATCCTTGCTGGAGACTCATGGCTGTAGTAGAGACCTTGGTGTATTTGCAATCATACCTCAGCTTATGTTCTCATGAAGATCACCAGCCCCTGGTTGACACAGGATGAGCTTTGGTCTGGGTCTTTTTATGGCTATGTATGTCTGGTCCACCAGTGCTGAATTGATAGTTTGGTATTTGGGTATTGTGGCTGGAGGTTGAAATTTCCCCCAATGAGAGTGAAGGTGTCAGAGGTGATGGTACACCCTATGGATGTAGTGGCACATGAAAGGGTTGACATTCAGCAGTGGGGAAGTTCCACATTGTGAACTCTTGTAGCCACTTTTATTCTTTGATAGGGATGAGGTGAGGACAGGGGCTGGAATGGAGGTATAGAACCCTGGGAGCTGAGGTAATCCCATGGCCTAGGACTCAGACCCACAGCTGGCTTTGTTTCTGCAGAAAGGGGAGACCTGGCCCATGCCTAATTGCTCCCAAGCTACCTGTGAGGGCAACAATGTCATTTCCCTGAGCCCACGCCAGTGCCCAGAAGTGAAGGCACCATCTTGTGCCAACGGCTACCCACCCTTGAAGGTGGATGACAAGGACAGTTGCTGCCAGCACTACCAATGCCAGTGTGAGTGGGGATAGGGTTCATCATGGGGAGGCATAGCAGGGGTGGACAGAATGAGGTGGATACCAGAAAAGACTTTCTCTTATCAAGTCAGAGATGGGGATGCTAAGTGGAGAGAACTGAACCCTGGAGCCACAGAGCCCAGTGGGAGAGGATCAGGGTCTTCTGTGCCTCAGAATCCCAGCAGCTCTGCCAGGCAGAGTCTGTGTCACAATGGTACAACAGTCTGAAGAGTTCCTGATTTGGAGGCAACCAGGGAAGGGTTGGACCAGCTGGATGAGAGCCAGTGTATAAGGTCAGCTCCTGGTACCCACAGGCGTTTGCAGTGGATGGGGTGATCCCCACTACATCACGTTTGATGGCACCTACTACACTTTCCTGGATAATTGCACGTATGTGCTGGTGCAGCAGATAGTGCCTGTGTTTGGATACTTCCGTGTGCTCATTGACAACTACTTCTGTGACCTGGGAGACAGTGTTTCCTGCCCGCAGTCCATCATTGTGGAGTACCACCAGGACCGTGTGGTCCTGACCCGCAGGCCAGTTGGCGGGATCATGACCAACCAGGTGGACATACTTTTGTGTGCGTGTGTGTGCGCGCGTGTGCGCGTGGGTGCGCACTCGTGTGTGTGTGTGTGTGTGTGTGTGTGTGTGTGTGTAGGGGGTTGTGGCAGGCTTAGTCTGGGTTCCGGACCCTAACTCTAAACTTTCTACTGCCATCCATATTCAGATCATCTTCAACAACAAGGTAGTCAGTCCTGGATTCCAGCAGAATGGCATTGTCGTCTCCCGTGTGGGTATCAAGATGTACGTTACCATCCAGGAGATTGGTGTCCAGGTCATGTTCTCAGGCCTCATCTTCTCTGTTGAGGTGCCCTTCAACCTCTTTGCCAACAACACAGAGGGCCAATGTGGTAAGCTCCACTCTGGATATTGTTTGGGTATCAGGAATAGCCTCTCCATAGGTCTAGAGGTGTCTCTGGCTGTGCACACATATGATTCACATCTGGTGTTCTATGGTGGCTTCTCTGTACACTGGGAACCAAGCTGGCTTCTGGGGAAGCCAGGTGCACAGAAGAGGATGTGAGACAAGTTGCCAATTCTGACTCTCAGCATGCTGCTCAGCTGGCTGACCCTTGTCTCACCTTGCAGGCACTTGCACCAATGACAAGAAGGATGAGTGCCGCCTGCCTGGAGGGGCAGTAACCTCTTCTTGTTCTGATATGGCTCTCCATTGGAAGGTGCCCAACCAGCCTTCCTGCCAAGGGCCTCCTCCAACATCAACTTCAGTGATATCCAGTCCTTCACCGACCCCATGCCCACCATCGCCAATCTGTCAGCTCATCCTAAGCAAGTAAGATTCCAGAAAGTGGGGTCACCTCACTGGTCCCATCTGCCAAAAGACACCAGGTCTTTAAAAGTCCTAAGAAAAATGGGATCAGCCTTATTCTAGGATCTGGGCACTGTCTCTAAGGATCTTATCAGACAGTGATCGCTGCTACAATGCTACTGCAGGGCTGGTAGTGGACAGGTTGGCTCTTCTTTGGAGCTCTCTGCCAGTTCCTGCCACTGATATGAGCATCAGTTACTGTCTGCACCTGTGCAGCATGCAGGGCCTCAGAGTAAGGGAGGCTGAGGGAGAGACATTTGCAGGAAGCAGTGCTCTGGTTGATGCCTTTCCTGGTCCACATACACAGGCAGATGACGCCCCTTGGCTTAGAAGACGGGCTCTAGGTGCTGAGTCATTGTTCAGGACCTCACCTCCAAAGGGATATCACAGATATGGAAGCCCCCACTTTGAATGGTAACCCTAGTAGAATATATGCACACACCACTGTGTCTGTCTTTGTCCTCCCACAGAGTCTTCCAGTCCTGCCATGGCATCATCCCTCCACTGCCATTCTATGAAGGATGCCTATTCGACTTCTGCCATGGGTTGGGTTCAGAGGTGGTGTGCTCAAGCCTAGAGCTCTATGCATCACTCTGTGCAGCCCAAGGCCGGTGCATCCCCTGGAGAAGCCAGACCAACAATACCTGCCGTGAGTGCCCAACCAGGCCACCTTTCTGTCCTCTGTTATAAGAATTTAGAGGTGCTAGGCAGATAGCCTGGGAAAGGACACGAAGCCTCAAGGCTAGTCTTCCCTGGAGGGAAAAGCTCCAGGTGTTGGGTTTGTTTTGGGGAAAGGGGAACTATCCAAATTGAGGTATCTGTGGATTTGGGGCCTGGGCTGTCAGCTGTCTTGGACGAGCAATAGAGCTAAGGGCCTGGGGGAGGGAGACAGGATGTAGATAGGTAGTGAAGTCTTCTGACTGGATGTCAGCATTCAATAGTGGCTGGGTTTTGGAGGATCCCAGAAGCAGGACCTTGAAATGGCTTCTCAGGGGTGGCTCTCTCTCCACACAGCATTCACCTGCCCTGCTAACAAAGTATACCAGCCATGTGGCCCAACCAACCCTCACTACTGCTATAGGAATGATGACATCAGCACCAGCTTGTAAGTGTCAGCACTCTGCTCACAGGGCTGACAAACCCTGGGCATCCAGTCCTGGCACTTGGCTTTCCTAGGCTGTGTTCTTTCTTATTTGGGAATGAAGGACCCACCAATTCTCTGTTTCTCACAGGACCCTCCAAGAAGCTGGCCCCTTTACAGAAGGCTGCTTCTGTCCGGACGACACAACACTTTTCAGTACTAATGATTCAATCTGCGTGCCTTCCTGCCAGTGTATGTCCCCATCAGCAAGGAGTTGGGGGTTTGGAGGGGCAGATTATGGCTGAACCCAGATCCCACTATGGTGCCCAACATGGGTCCTGTTCCTGCCACATCCCTGTGGCCACCCCCAAGTGATAGAACATCTTTCTACAGGGTGTCTGGGGCCTCAAGGAGAACCTGTGGAGGTAGGTATGAATGGTGGTGGTTCCTAGAGCACTGAGACAAAAGCAGTGCGGGCTTGGGGTGGGATTTTCTTAGGATGCTAAAGGCCAGATGAAGGCAGGAAGAGTGCCCGTGTCCCAACAGGATCGGGAAGGTGTTGTTCTTTGGGAATGTCCTGCCTGTGTTCTGGGGGTGCTGGGCATCTCATGAGGACTGGTTAGGCCTGTTATTCCCTGGTGCTCTTTCTGTCCTGAACAGACATGTGATGGGGTGGAGGGGAAGGACTGCTCACCAAACGAAGTCCTTCTCCCACCTCTGCTCCCGACCTCTGTGCCTGGACTCTGGTGCCTCAGGCCTTCCCTCCTGAAGCCCTCTCCCCCAGGCTTGCTGCACAACCCCTCAGCACATGTGGCTGCAGCTGTCCTTGGGCTGAGCAGCTCACTCACAGGCCAGGTTCATGTATCATTCCCCCATAGCCGGGCCACACCATCAGCTTCGACTGTCAGGACTGCATCTGCAAGGAGGCCACGCTGACCTGCCAAAGGAAGCTCTGTCCCCAGGCCACCTGCCTGGAGCAAGGCTTTGTGCCAGTGCCTGAAGCCCTGGAGGCTGGCCAGTGTTGTCCTCAGTTCAGCTGTGGTGAGCCTTTGCTACCATCCCCATACCCGTAGGTAGGACTATCTCCTGAGGAGCCATGGACATATGGGGTCAGCAGCCAGCTCTGCTCTGCATACATGGTCCCAGGAGGAAGGGAGTAGATGCTATCCCTTCCCAGGCTCTGCACACTGCTTGTGTATAGGGACCCAATCTGGCAACATCCTAGCAGGTGATCTTTAGGTGTGTGTGGTGGAGATTCCCCTGCCCAGACTGACCAGAGCCTGCTCCTGGGGTCTTGGGGACTGTCATGTCATCCTGTGGTGGGGTAGATCCTTGGAGCAGAAGAGAAGCAGGTATAGTACAAGCCCAGCTCCTGACAGCTTCTTCTACCCACAGTCTGCAACTCCAGTCACTGCCCTCCTCCTCTGCACTGCCCAGAGAATTCTAGCCTGATGGTCACATACGAGGAGGGAGCTTGCTGCCCAAGCCAAAATTGCAGTGGTGAGTGTCCTTGATCCTTGCACCAAGCCACACTAGGGCCTAGAACTTCCCAGAGGACAAACCAGATGAAGTCATTGATGGTTGGAGATGGGTTGTTGCTTGGCATGGAGCCCTTGGTGAGAAAGAAGCCCAAGGCACTCCAGTATCTAGCAGCAGAACTAATTGTTGGTAAGTGTCAGGCAGGCTGTGCCCTTGCAAGGCCAAGGCAATAGCCAGTATGTCTCTTGGACAGGTCGGCAGGGCTGTGAAGTCAACGGGACTCTCTATCAGGTAGGAACCACTGGTACTCAGGCCTTACAGCCTACAAGGACTGAGCTTCCTGTTTGGGGATCTCCACCAGCCTTCTGGAGCTCAGGTGGTGATCTGAAAAGCTGAGGAGGTCTTGAGTCTCTGTAGACCCTGGCATAGAGCTCCTGCCCAGACCAACAATAGAAGCTTCTGTGGATGTTGCTCAGAGCAGCTCTGTTAAGATTCTCCCCAGTATTCTTGAAGGTGCCAATACCCTGTATCTGGGCCCATCAGGATTCTAGCAGCGCTCTGCTCCTTGAAATCATACTGGGTATGCTGGCACCCCATTTCCCCCAGCTGTGCTTTCCCACACTAATCCCCAAGTGAATTGTATCTTAGGTCCCCTGACATAGAGACATAGTACCAACAGCTCTGCCCTGGGACAGCTCCTGAATTATGTTCTCTTTATGATAAGGGTAACATTAAGGGTCATCTTCTAGAGAACGGGTTAACTTGGTGGGCAGCCAGGGCAACCAGCCAGTCACAGTATTGAGAGGTGTCTTTCTAGCTTGAGTCCACTAATGCCCAGTCCTGACTCTTCCCAGCCTGGTGATGTGGTCTCCTCCAGCCCATGCGAAACATGCTTGTGTCAGGCGCCCAGCAATCCCCATTCAGATGTCTTTGTGATCAGCTGTGAGACTGAACTCTGCAACACTCTATGCCCCATGGTGAGTACTGGCCCCATCCCTGCTCTCATCACCCTGTGCCCATGGCCTGAACTCCTCAAGCAGCATACCATTCTTCCTGCAGGGCTTTGAGTACCAGTCCAAACCAGGACAGTGTTGTGGCGGGTGTGTGCAGAAGGGCTGCACCTTTAAAAACAGCAGCAGCTCTACTGTCTACTACTACCTTGTGAGTACCTGGGACTATGCTAGGTGACCTCAGAAAGGGGACTAGATGATAGGAACAGCAGATCACAGGCTCTGCAAAGCCACCACACTCTCCAAGGAACCACTCAAAGCACCAGGCCCAGGTATAGAAAGAATGAAGAACACAGTATTTGAAGTGAACAAACAGGGTTCTGGGGGCATTGAAATCTGAGTGGCCTAAATCTTGGAGGCTCAGAGATGCTCAGGCAGGGTCCTGGGGACTCCAGGTTGAACATGCAGGGTCCTGGAACCTTGAGGGCACTTGGGAAGCCATCTTTTGCAGACATAGTCCTGGCCTATGCCATTGTCTCCCTAGAAGATAATAGGCTGTGGGGAGATAGAGGTTGGGCACTCACTATGCAGGCTGGGCCTCCTTTCAGCCTGGTGAGTCCTGGCCAGAACCTGGGGACCCCTGTGTGACTCATAAGTGTGAGATGCTCCAAGAAGTATTCATAGTCGTGACAACGAAGAGGGAGTGCCCCAAGATCAGCTGTCCACAGGTAAGTTTGGGCGTTCCCACGCCAGCCTAGGAGGCAGCTCACTTGGAGATGAGGGAGAGGCCAATGTCGCATGGCCATTAGGCTTATCCCCTTCCCCCTATTGTTTGCATTTGACCTCATGTCTCATTCCTCCATTTCTGGATGCCTCATTGCCCCTGGTATTCACAATGGCCCATTGTTGGCACAGGGCCAGGTACAGCTGAGAGAAGATGGTTGCTGCCATGACTGCGTCATCCCCCAGCAAAGTAAGTGGGGGCTTGACGAGGAAGGGGTTGATCCCGGCCTGGGGAACCCAGGAAATGACTGAGCAGACACTTACCCTCTGCCTCATTCCCCATCCTCCCAGAATGCACAGTACACCAAAGACAGCAGATCATCTATCAGCAAAATTGCAGCTCCGAGGGACCAGTGAGCCTCTCCTACTGCCAGGGCAACTGCGGGGACAGCACCTCTATGTATGAACCCCAGGGAGCTTCAGGGGACAGTGTTTGGAGATGCAATTGGCGGTGGGGGTGGGATGGGATGTGTGGTGCACTCAGGTCCAGAGGCAGTGCAGGGAGGGGCAGAACCAGGAGGGTGAGAAAGAGGGAGAAGACTGTTATGATAACTTGAGCGTCCCAAGATGGCATCAGCAGGGGTCCAAGTTTCTTGGGCTATGTGACCACATTTGAAGCAGGATTTCCGTTTGTGGAAATATCTCAGAGGTACAAACCCCAGTCCCACAGCAATGACCTGCTGTGTATCTGGTTGCAGACTTAGGACACCTGGTGGCCAAAGACAGCTGTGGCAGAAACATTTGCCCCAGGGCAATTGGCAAGTGAGAGCAGTAGGGTTTTGAACCCAGGGTGAGCTCGGCACTGAGCCCACTGGACGCAGAGCCTGTGGCAGCCGTAGGCAGCTCCTGGCAGGGCTGGGTGCTGAGCAGATCTACCCACAGGTACTCGCTGGAGGCCAACACAGTGGAACACAAGTGTGAGTGCTGCCAGGAGCTGCAAACCTCACAAAGGAATGTGACTCTGCACTGTGATGATGGCTCGAGTCGCACCTACAGCTACACCCAGGTTGAAAAGTGTGGCTGCCTGGGCCAGCGGTGCCATGCTCTAGGCGACACAAGCTACTCAGAGTCTTCAGACTCAGTGTTCAAGTCCAAGGAAAGCAAAGAACATGGCCAGCAGTCAGCATTCAGGGCCAGCAAGGAGATGCCCGGGTCTTCCCAGTAAACTGAGCAACACTGCTATCCCAGAACACCACCCAAAGGTCCTCTTGAGGCCAGCAGGACGTGTGCTGCTTGTTCAAGTGGCTTGAATTCCAGACATTCCTACCCACCACTTCCTCTCCAAGAGGGACATCGACCCCAGCTGTCCTCGGAGGGAGAGGTCCTTTCCACCATTTAGGAGCCTGAGGGCCACTGGACTCCTTTGGAAAGAACTTCAGCATCAAAGGATCCCATAAAGGAGTCACTTGCATGCAGATGTCATCTGCCTGGCCTCACTCTCCCCTCAGCCCTGCACCTGTGCCCCTTTCAGGGAATGGCCAATTTGTTTTATAAATACACTCAGAGCATTTGTGGATTCTGTGTATGTGTGTGCTATTTTTTAAAAAAACATGTCTATACAGGAACTGAATAAGGGCAGGCCTGGACTTCAAGGGGCTTATACTTCAGGATGTTCACTAGGGACTTGGCAGTGAGGGCTGCTGGGGAGCCTCTATTTACTAGGAGGATATGTCCCAAAGTTGACAATCATTACACAGAGTGAACTAGAGCCTGACTGATGCTCACAGTCAGAAGCATCCTGGGAGAGGACGATGAGGGAGAGAATGAATGAGTGAGTAAATGAATGAATGAGTGAGCGAATTAGTGAATGAGGAAGTGATTGAATGAGTGAATAAATGAGGGAGTGACCGAGTGAATGAGTAAGAGGACTAGTGAGTGGATGAATGAGTGAGTGACTGAATGAACTGGTGACCGAGGAGATTAGTGGATGAGTGGATAAGTGTAGTGAGTGAATGCATGGATAATGAAGTGCTTGAATGATGGAGGGAGGGAATGTATACAAGTGATTGAATGGGTAGGTAAGTGAACTAAGGAGTAAGTGGATGGATGATTGAACAAATGAGTGAATGAATTAGTGAGTATATGGAAGAACAGATGAATGAGTGAGTTAGCCAATGAATGAATAAGTGGATTAATGTATGAATGGATGAAGACATGGCTGGTCAAGTGGTTAAACAAATGAGTGGATGAATGAGTAAGTGCATGAGTGTATGAATAAATGAAAGGGACCTGATGGTGACCAGCCTGAGAAAAGCAAGTCTATATATCTCACTCTTCAGAGGGAGGGGGGCGGAAGTGGCGGCTGAGTAGCCCATGGCAGCCCAGGATCATGCACAAAGCACACTCCAGTGCTCAGGAGCTCCAGCATCATCAAGAGTGGGCACATGGAGGGCAGGAGGATGAGTATCCCTAGAGCAGACACTAGGGAGGGGAAATGTCAGCCTTTTGCACCCAGACATTTGCTAGGAGGCTGGAGCTATACCCTGACAGGACAGGAGATTAAACAGACAGACCTTGTTGGATGCCTGGAGGCATCCTGGGGCTTAGGCTAAGGTCTTCAGACCTGTGGTCACTGGGCAGGTGTGGGGTGAATGGAGCGGGGTCTATTCAGACTGTCTAAAAGTGTCTGGTATGGCATGAGGGGAGGAACACAGTTCTCATGCTCAGGTCTTTGTCTCACCCAGCAAGGCAGCATGCTGGTGGCCAGCACAGTGTACATGGGAATCCAGACTCGTGTATCCAAGTCCAGCCTCCAGGAATTCAATGTTCATTGCTTCTGTTCTATGCTGTCTCAGTTATAAAAACCAGGCTCAGTTGGGTTCGTTCTGGGGCCCAGGGGCCTGCAACCTTTCATTGCCTGTTGGGAAACCTGCTTTCGGGAGTTCAGTTGTGTTCCTCAGTGTTGCCATAAGGTGGTGTAAGCCCAGCTCTGCACCTTTGTAGTATTCTGAATCTGGGCTTTTGTTCTTGGGTGGACTGTCCCTTGAAGACAGCCAAAGGCAAAACTGAAGCCCTAGAGGGGACAGGGTTTCCCCAGGGTCTCAGGGCTGCAGGGTCCAAGGGAGAGTGTAAGGACAGTCCTTAAGTTATTCCCAAGCATTCCCACTGGACAGGCAAGCTTTGGATTCAGCTGGAGAATGAAAATCCTTGTCCCTTCACCTGTCTGCTTACCCAGGCAGTCAAGGCTTGGGCTTGTCCCTAAGTCACCTTCAGGTCCATTCTGCCTGAATGCAGTCTTCAAGATTAGGAAATTAAGGCTCACCAGAGATATATCCAGTCCCTATTGGGTCCCTAGATCACAAAGGGTTTTGTCCTAATGGCAGGTCTCACAATATTTCCTGGCATTGAGTTTCAGACAGACAAGTCCTTGCCTGCATAATATCAGAGCTTCCAGACTTCTAAGTGCCCTGCTTCCTTGGGCTATTTATTTCCAGTGGTTTGGGCTGCCTCAAAGCTTGATTCCTATCCAGGACCAGTGCTGAGAGGGTCACTCCCTGGCTGAGACCCTGTGACCTTTCGTGCAGGCAGCAACTCTGAGGCTGGCTGGCTCTGCAGGTCTGCTCTGTTGCCTGGCTCACCCCACTGACCTCTTAGTCTCTGCCAGTCCCTAATCAGTGTCATTGCCCCTGGAGAGGATCAGGTATCCCAGAGAGCCGCCTCTTCCTCTCAGAGTGGGGCAGTGCTGTGGTGACTAATCCCTTAGCTCTTGGAATACCCGTAGATTGAGGGCCCCTGTGCGTCATTTCTACCTAGAACCATGGCAGGTGTGCTGGCAGGAAGCAACCAGATCGCACGCTCCCGGAGCGGGGGGGGGGGCAGTGGTTATCTTCCTTACCTGCACACCCTGCCCACCACAGCCTCAGCCAAATTGTGCAATGCATCGTTTCTGGAAAGAGCTGAAGAGCGGGGCAGGGGCCCACACACACCTTGGTGTTAGTCTCCACCCTGACCACAAGGGTAGAACTTTGACCCACACCCTGGACTTTACATGGAACAGGGCATGAAAATTTTATTGCTGAAATGTCTAAATGAGACCCCGTAGACCCAGGCTGGCCCGGACTGCTCCTGAGGGCACAAGGTCTTGAGAAGTCAAGTTCCACCCTCCCATGTTTTGGGAACTTCCATAGTTGAGGACAGGATAAACAGGGCAGAGTAGGCTCCTGACCTCTCACCCAGCGCTCTAGCACCTTGCTTTCATTTACAGTGAGAGAAGCCTGCTTAATCTGAGGCCAGAGCCAAGGTGCAGTTCCCTGCGACTGTCCTGGGAAGGCAGGGTGGAAAGGGAACCCTGTCTAGCAGTCTGCGGGCAAGAGGAAGCAGCCCAAAGCTGGGAAGGGAGGGTGGTCCACCAAGGGTCAGAGGTGAGCCTAACTCCAGTTGACCTGGGGTTTTCCACAGCTTAAGATAAGGATGGTTTGGCATTTGAGGTTGTGCTGGTGTCCAGAAGTGGGGAGAGACCCCTCAGTGCTTCTATCGCCAAGCAAAGAGTGCTTCTGTACACAGTCCCAAGATAAGATGACCAGAGTGGAGCCTAGAGCTGACACGTACACAATGCTCAGCCACCACAGTGGCTACCGTAGCTGTCCTACTCCCACTTCAAAGAGGCTGTTTAGATCCCCAACCCACCCTACAGGCCATACTTAGGTCTGCCCTTGAGGTCCGGATGCGGAGTGTTGGATTTCTGGGGCCTGATGAGAATGTCAGGTAGAGTATAGGCATGCAAACGTCCCCAGGATAGGTCACAGCTGACGCAGCAAACAGCTTGGACTTCTGTGACATACCAGGTCAGCTGCCAGCAAGCAGTGACCAAGTCCCCTTTACTGTCAGTAGGTCCCCAGGCCTGTGCCCAGTTCAGGCCCATCTGACAATATCTTTCTGTAGTGCCTCAACCCATTTCCTCATGGAAGAGCACAAAGGGTTCCACCCTTAGAGGTGCAAACTCCAGCCATCCTAGTCTGAACAGGGGACACTGATGGGGACAGAAATGTATAAGGGCCAGGACAGCCTCACTGAACCCACACCCTGGCTTCATCCTCGTCTTCCCACCCAGAGGAGCCCTCAGAGGGTCCAGAGAGCTCCTCAGCTGTGCTTCAGAGTGGGATAGCCCCTGAAGAGACCACACCTCTGACATTTCCCAGGGAAGTGGGACACCTTACCTCACATACTGAAACACAGCCCAGGGGGTCAGATGTTCCTGTCATTTCTGGAATCAGATTTCTTCCTGCGCCCCAGCCAGTTCCACCAGGATAAGAGCAGCTTCTTCCCACACAGCCTTGCTCAGCATGAAGCCAGGTCTGGGGTTTCCTCTGCAAGTACTTCAGTTTCTTACTGGCCCACTGCCCAATGAGAGCCCACAGCCTGAGGCTGTACCCGTCTTTAGCAGGCAGCTCCTGAGCCTCAAAGTTCCACAAAAGACGGGCACCCCTGAGACTCTCTTTCCTGCTGTGAGCCCTGGGGGAACTGGGAAGAAGGGCCCCCAGTATAGAAATCATGTACTTAGAATGTGCTCTGGGCCCTTGTACCTGATACCCTGCTAAGATGCCATGCTGGGACCAGAGCCTGTGTTAGCTTAGAAGTGCTTGGCAGCTCTCTGAGACCTGGGATGTTAAACAGCTGTCCTGAGACTATCCACATCTCCAAAACATCTCTGCAGTGATGACTGGGCTGGTTTGCAAACTCTCCTTCTAGAGAGCTCAGTGCCATTGCTCCCTTGTTTGCTTGGAAGGGTGTGTTCAGGCATTACTGCAGGTCCCAGGCTGATGTGGACACTTGGGTTCACCTGCACAATCTTGGCCCTGCAGGCAGGAACCCTCCACTCCTTAGTAACACATTTATTCTTAAGGAGAGACGTGGCAGTAGCTCTGAGTTGACCATCTCCGGGCCTCAGGCTTAGGAGTCTGAGCTGAATGAGCAAGAGACCCTGTGACTAAGTCATACCTTTATGTATCTGTTGGGCTTTCTCATGGTGACACTGGTGACAACTCAGAACATAATGGCCTCGGGCACCTCTGACTCATTTTCCTCCTGGAGCATGGACTCACAGCTAATGCACTTTCTCCTTGTTCTTTTCTAAACACTGTCCCTGTCCCTGCTGTGGGGTGACATGAGGGGGCCCAGGGACAGGAAGCATCTGAATGTGGAGAGTTTTCTGGGCCTATGTCTCTGACAAGAGAACAGTAGTGCAGGGCAGTCTATGCCTTCCATTTCCCAGTGCCCAGACCTGCATGGGGTGTGTCCTTTGGCTGGGTTGGGGCTTCCATAGCTCAGTCACCACAGTGGCCCTGAGACTGGGTGGTGTGAGCTTGTTGGGGAGAGGCCAGTGCAGCCTGCGTGTGAGTATACAGCTGGCTTTTGTACCAGACATCTCTCTCAGCACAGGGCCATGCGGGGAGGAGGTCACTGGCCTCTCAACAAACCTCGCGGGTAGCAAGTCAACAATGGGGTTCCTGGAGGGGAGGGAAGGGCCTGTTTGTCCACTTGGCATCTCTGTTTGGGGACAGGACACTGAGGCCCTGC